GCCTTGCACGTGGCCAGGCCTGCCTGCTCCTCAGCTCGTCATGGGCTGGCAGGGCACCCTCTGCTCAGGGCAGCATCTGCGGCCCGAGGGACGGTGGGTCCAGAGCCCACCAAGGAGAGGAAGTGGAGGCAGCCGTGCGGCACATTCAGTCCCGGACCCGCTGCCCGTCCAGTGCTTCCTCCGGGCGACGGAGATGTCTGCCCGCCCTGTGCTCCCCCCACTGCAGTGACCCTGTTCAGGGACCCTGCTGGGGACCCGGGCCCTCCCGTCCTTGGAAGTGGCATCTCCCAGCCCCGAGAACGTCAAAGCTGGCGCGGGTGAGGTGTCGGCACCTCTGAGACAGGGCAGGGAGCAGCCTGTGTGCAGCGCTCGTCACGGGCGGAGGGACCCGCAGCGTGGAGTCCCCACCAGAGGCTGAGGGGATGCATTGCTGAGTCCATTTTCCAGGAAAGAGCCGCGTCCTACAGTCCCGGCAGCGGACACCGGGTTCCTGAGCTCAGGCCTGTTGACCGCCAGGCCGTGGCCTTTCACGGAGCGCAGCCACGGCCCTGCCTCGGGCCTGGTCTGCGGTTCCGGCTGCCCAGAGGGCCTGGCTGCGAAGCCCACACTGACATCCCTCTCCCCGCCGAGTCCAAGTGACACCTGGGCTGCAGTCCCCAAGCTGCCCGCGCAGGAGGGTGACAGCAGCTGTCCGCGTGCCCTCCTGCCCCCTCCTCCGGGCAGCCTTCTTGGCTTCCTCCTGGCTCTGTCCCCACAGGGACCGCTGGCTGGCGGCGCCCGTCCAGATCTGGCAGCGTTTTCAATTGAGTCCTAATTGGTGACGCGTTGTTTTACTGAAAGGGTTTCTGTTCTTAGGTTTCTAGTATACACTTCTATGAAAAACGTCAAAGTATGGTCAGACTCTTAAACTACACAATGATAACCCGCGGAAATGATGATGAACGTGTAAGAAACTGTCTAAATACAAGTAAGTAGTCTGACCTGTTTCTCCCCCGCCTGGGGCGGCGGGGCGGGCGTGGGCTGCGCTCAGTGGGTGGTCCCGAGGATGGGCCCACTGCCCCTCGGACTGGTGGTCTCTGGAGTCTCCGTCCGATTCCTTTATCAGGCCATTGGGGGGCGGGGACACGTACACCCACAGCCTGTCCCAGAGTCGCCGGGAGGAGATACTAAGTCTGAGTCAGTGCAGCCAGTCGCTCTGCTCAGCAGGCTGGGTGGGCTCCTGCCGGCGGCTCTGTGAGAGCCAGAGGGGTCGCCGCCATGTGGGAGGGGACCTGCCCGACACAGGGCGTCACACACGGTGGTGAACAGTCTGTGACTGCGGTGGCCCGGCCCTGACGGAGCCCCGCCCTTTCTGCCGCACGCCGGCCACGTGGGCCCCGAGCAGGCGGTCCCCCAGCAGCGGGTCCCTGGGGGGCGGGTGCCGGAACCCCTCGTCCCACTCGCCACTCTGTTTCTGAAGATGGACCCCAAAGGTGTCTTTGTGCTGCCGCCCCACGGGGTGCAGGACCTGCACGTGGGCGTGAGGCCCCGCCAGGCGGGCAGCCGCTTCGTGCACCTGAACGTGGTCGACGTAGACTTCCACCAGCTAGTGGCCTCCTGGCTCGTGTGCCTCTCCTGCCGGCCGCCTCTCATCTCCAAGGTCTGGGAGGGGGCGTGCGTGGGCACAGGCGTGGGTGCACGGTGGTCACCTGGTCCTCCACCAGGCCCGGCTCCAGGCAGGAGCTTCCTCCCATCCTCCTGGCCCTGGGGGAAGTGGGGGGCTGCTCCTGTGCTGGGGGCCCCTCCCCTGGGAGCCCCGAGGGGGGGCTGTCTGTCCTGCATCCCAGCTGCTGGGCCCCCTGCAGAGCAGGCTCAGGAGTCCCTGCAGGAGCCCAGCCCATGCTGCCCTCCCACAGGCCTTCGAGATCACCATGGCCGCGGGGGAGGGGAAGGGCGCCCACAAGCAGATCACCTACACCAACCCCTACCCCTTCCGCCGGGCCTACCGCCTGCACTGCAACCACCCCGACTTGCTGCAGTTCACGGAGGACACCTTCCAGGTGGGCACCGTGCGGGTGGGGCCTGAGCCCTGGGCTGGGGACAGAGGTAGGAGCCAGGCCATCGGTAGTGGTGTCTCCACCGAGCCCTGGGCGGCGAGCTGGGCGGCTGCGCTCTGGTGCGGTGCTTGGGGAGGATGTGGGGGGAGGGCACCTCTGTGAGCGCCACTGCTTCGTCTCAGACCCCCGTGTCTAGGCGACTTTTCAGGGACCGGGCCTGATGACCAACCCAACCTGTGGTTTCTCCAAAGTTTTACCAGAACTGCCCCACGTTGACCCTTGCCTGTCTTGAGCGTTGGAGGGAAGGTGGCGGGAAGCAGTGGGGGTGCCTCTGTGGCTGGGAGTGTCCCCGGGTTGTGGAAGGCAGTCATGGGGGCCTCACAGGAGCAGGGGCACCGCAGCTCAGAGCTGGTGCCTGGAGGATCCCCAGCCCACGGCGAGGCAGGAGCCAGGCCAAGGTGCCCTGTGGGTCACGCAGCCCAGGGAACAGGTGGTGGTGGAGGTTGCTGGAGGAGAGGGCGCTGGGCTGGGCGCTGACGGCCGCCTCTTCCAGGTCGCGGGCGGAGAGACCTACACCATCGACCTGCGGTTCGCGCCCAGTCGGAGGGCCGGGGAGCGGGAGGTGCTCATCCACATCAACGACCACGAGGACAAGACCGAGGAGACGTTCTGTGTGAAGGTCGCCTACCGGTGAAGGTCGCCTACCGGTGAAGGTCGCCTACTGGTGAAGGTCATCTACTGGTGAAGGTCATCTACCGGTGAAGGTCATCTACCGGCGAAGGTCGCTTACCGGTGAAGGAGCCTCCCCGGCCTCCATGGGCCTCTCTGGGCCTCCATGGCCTCCCCAGCCTCCCCCGCCTCGAT